TAGTTTTTTGGATATAAAATGTAATTACCGCCAATTCATCTTGATTTAAGCACAGTGAAAACATTTTCATATTCAAAATGTTTTTCTAGTTTTAAAAACAGACTGAACTCAGTTTAGAACATCAAAATTCTCTCTGTGTACAAAAATATATAGCAAGCAATTTTAAAATAAATGTAAATTCAATTTTTTCTTTTAATTTAAAACAAAAACTCCCGGCGAAATTGAATATCGGAATAGTCCTTCTATAAAGTCAATGTCCTGGCAGTGCCAAAATGATTCCGATTTAATCGTTAGGAAATTTTTGCGACAGTCCGAACAATTCCTCTATCAAAGCTAATTGCTCGGGGCATTAGGCGAAAAATGGGCGGAGGGGTTGGGGTAGGAAAATCGAGAACGAGATGGAACGATTTGTAAAGGAAAATTGTCACCATATGCGTCAACACGCAATAATTCACCAGAAAGAATAATCCAAACAATTGACCAGACTCCGTCACATTTCCCATTTCCTCCCCTCTCTAATGGCGAGGGTGTGTCCTTTTCCTACGCCTCTGTCTCTGGATTTTCCTCTGCCTGCAGCAAGTGCCACTACCCTCCCCCTAAGTAACCACCCCCACCCCCCTTTGGACCCCTGCAACGCTCTTTTGGTGTTTTGGTGCTAATTGAATTCATTGCTGCGTTGATCAAGTGCTGCCAAACAACAACAAATCATCCCCAGAGGCTAATGATACCAAACGACTGAAGCCAAACTCAACTTGCAAGAGTGGGGGCTGCCATGGGTTAAGGGGTGGCCAAGAGAGGGTTGCTCGTCTTGTTTTTGGACCAACTGCGGGCTCCGTTTCCGTTTCCGCATTCGTACATATATATCTCCCTGTTGCTGTTATTGCTCTGCGTTAAATGAAATTAGAAAACCTTATGTTGAGTTAATTAGCAAATTTAACGGGGCAATGAGGGGAGAAAGTGCTTTGCAGGTGGAGGGGAGAGAGTTTTGATTCCTCATATATATTTCAAGAGGGTTTTAAGAAGTGGATTTTGGGCTAATCAATATATTTGAGAAAATCTTCCTAATATATAATATATATTGTAAAAATAAATAATTTTTGTGATTTGATGGTTAGTACATTATGATTTCTATAAAAAATGATTTATAATAAGATAAAATTAAAAAATCGCATAATAGCCAACCATATTTGTAGTACTTACACTAATAAAAAGCCTTCGATCCAAGGATCTTTTGCAACTATGGACTTATTTATCTATTATGGTTAATACTAATATGTTCTATTAGACCTTCTCAAGTAAAAATGTCCAACTCCGTATTAAATAATTTTCACCTGGATAGAACAGTATCATATTAAATCATGCAGTTTGAATGTTTTGCTTTTAGTATTATTTAATTATTGACATTTAATGGATCCAAAAACTTTGAAATGAATTTCATTTTTGTATATTTTGCCATAGTAGATTACCATTCAAAAAATTCTTAAGAGAAGGACTGCTTTATTCTATAAAATATTTAAGATGTCTAAGCCAAAACGTTTACGTTTATCAAAAAATCCAAAAATTCGATGGTTCTAATGACGGCTCACAACTATATCGCTCCGAAATCACCATATTTGCTTTGAAAACCATCAGTTATAGTTCCTCAATGTGCGCATATGCATTTCCCCCATCAATTAGAAAGGATTTGCCCAGCGCGGCAGCAATTAAAAACGAAATGCCGCCCATCAATTGTGATATCAATCGAAGCCAATCAATAGGGCACCACAGCATCCTGACCCTCGTATCCCTCCTCCCATTTTCCGATTTCCCATTTCCCCGCTCAGCTGACAGAGTAAACAGCCATTAGCTAGCTGGCTAACGAGCAATAACCGCTTATACACCCCCAACCCCGACTACGATGCCCAGACAAATGCAAATTTGACAATAATAAAATCCAACATATGACAATAATCGCACATATTTGACAATAAAATCGAAAATCGAGGGAATTTCGATTGTATATTAGCGTAAAAGTTCACCGAATGCGAATATAGAAATGAGAGGGGTGTGCAGTGGTGTACGCTAAATCAGTAAAGCAAACATCACATATAACAAAATTAAGCATAAAATGTGATCATCTGTGTTGACATGAAGATCAAATTGGAACCCAGGAATAGAACTATAAACGCCGTTCAACCCAAGAGGGTTGTCCTGCACTGGGAAAAAAGGTCTTGGGGAAACCGAGAATATTTCGGGACTAAAGTTCCTGTTCTTATTATGAAAATAAGCAAGAAAAAATTGTTTGTACTTATAATAAATATTTGGAAAAATAAAGTTAAGTTATTAATATAAATATGATAAATATATAACAATAATACAGGCCAAACTTTTGTATTTCTATCGAGAATATTTACTTGGTATTTTACTGAACCCAAGGATTACTCATTACCTTAACACTTATCATCATAAATAATAAACTCAAGGTAAAAATTAATAAACTAATGGGTATAAAAAGAGTTATACATTAAAAACGTGAAATAAATTAAGAGAAATAAACAATAATGATTTTTTTAAATAAATTAAATACAATTGAAGATTTTTTAAGGCAAATTAAAAATTTTCTCCAATTGTTTTCTCTCAGTGCAGCTGATGACGTTGCCCAACAGGGGATAACCAAATTGTAACACCAGCAACAAAGGCAACAAAGTCAGGCGGGGAGGGGTAGAGATCCGTTCCGGGGGACTGGGAAGTGAACCCTCAATTCAATCGGCGATTTTCTGGGTGTGTGCCTTCCTCAACTCAACGCTTGTGTGTTTATAGAAATTATAACTCACATTTAATTTGCAACAGATGCGACAATCAGCAGCAGGCATCCCGAAGGACCACGTACAGCATCCAGGACCAGCCATCCCAAAACCAATTCCAGTTCTACGGTTTGATCTTTGTCACCCTTTTACGGGTATTCATTGAAATACTCCTGCTGCAAATTACCCGCTAATAGCTCAATGAATTGAAATTAGGGAGAAATCGTTCCCCCATCCCTTTGCATTGTATTCTGGTTCAACACATTTGGCCACTTCAAGGCAAATCAAAATAAAGCGCAGCATCAGCAACCGCAGCCCAGGGTGCACAGTGGGTTAAGTTAAGGGGAGAAAGGTTCCTAGAGTTCAGTGAGTCGCATAATGGTTTGAACTGAAGAAGCAAGACTGGAATAATTTAATGATATTTTTTTGGTCTTTATGTAATCTAGAAGTATTTATATGCCTTAATTTATTTTATAAATATTAAAAATATTTGTTTAAATATATTTCAATTTTTTTTTGCAAAATATTATAGATTACAAAGATAGAAAAGTTTATAAAAATATAGTATAGGCTTAAAAAAAACGTATGATTAGTTTTTGATATATATTAAAATATAAATAAATTCCAAAGTACCTACTTGATACATTATAATAGTAATATTTATGAATATATTTAGGTGAACCCTCAAAACATATGTACCCTTTTCAAACCACTGTGTCACATATCATCATTTATATAATTGTGTGCTTCTTTCATTTATTCAGACAGAATGCGCTACGTGTTAGGGGCAACCAGAAGAGCGAAATGAATTTTTATTAGCCCATCAGAAAACAAGAAACTGCTGCATAATAACAACAATAACAGCAACAACAGCAACAGATCAAACAACCAATAATAACAATATAAAGCATACTTCAAGGCAAACCAACAGCAACGATAAAACCCGTAAAGTCCGTCCGTGTGCGCGTCTATGAAATACTTGAGAATTACGTGATAAAGTGGACGGACGAGTTCTCTTCATAAGAATGGAAATGGGTTCGGGCATGGGAAATGCAATCGAAAGTGCTTAGAAGAATACAATTCCAAATGAGTTCACACTTTATGTCTTCTTGTTTGAAGGAGGATAGTAATAGAGGTAATTGTTATCACACCATATATTATTATAATTAATGAAATATATTATAAATGATCAAATATTTAGTTTTCTTTGTATATTTATCGTCATATATTGTTATTTTAAAAATGGGTTAGGTATATTGTCTCTTATTTAGGAAGATATATTCATATATTACCTTTCGACTGGAACTAAAGCACTTTGCACTATTCATTTACTATATATTTCAACCATCCATAATAGAAAAGATTATTAGAAAGATTAATATTTAATACATTCTAGAAACATCACACTTCTTTAGGAAGATCCAGACAGCTGATCCAAGTTGAACTGAGTTCACGCCGTTATCAAAAACCTGGAATTCTTCAATCTGTTTTCTTTATTTTGTATCGCTTGATAATAATACTTTATAAAGGTCGTCTTCGAGCGGAAATTGAAGCTCACCATGATTTTTTCAATTTGCCATACACGCACACCGAATAGAACCAAATCGAAATCAACAACCGAAGCAACTTCAAAGTGCTTTCGTTGTTCGCCTTAAGTTGGCTACATTTTAATTAGCGAAATAATTTTGAAGTGATACTATAAATTTAGTCATAATTATTGTCTCAGCAATTAACTTGATTATCTGCGCACATTTTGATTTATTTGCACGATAAGCTTTATCACAAGGGTCCTCGGATTGGCGAGAAATTGAGTAGAATTTTGATTGGGAAGTATATGTGGCTAATGGCTCTTTCTTTATGGCCGTCGTGTATTTATAAATTTGAGACCACAGACAGCTCTCGAAGCCAACCAGATTAGATAATCACATGAATATATATTATATGTATATTTATACTTGTTTTCCTGTATCAATTTTTCGTTCCGTTCTATAAATTATTTTGGTGGTCATAATCAATTTTCAGCTCTCCTTCGTTTTTAATTAGTTTATTGTTCTAACATTGATTATTTATAGATATGAAATTCTTAGAATTTCTTTTTATATAGAGTTGAAATACGAAAATAGTTATCACTATTTTTAATACCCATTTTCCCATATTTATTTCTTTATTCTTCATCTTACCTGTTCCTCAGTTGTTGCCCCAGAAATTCAGTTACTATTAATGTTTTTCATCATTTATTTTTTTCACTTTTGATTTCGAAAATAAAATCCATACAATTAACTAATTCAATCGCAATGCGATATTTTACATACATTGTTGTAGTTGCATTTCAATGGCTTTTGTTGATTTTGTTAATATTAAATGCTACAATTACATAATTACAATTATTTACACAAATTACACAAGCAAATTACGAATTACCAACTAAACTAATCGCATTTAATGTAATTTATTTACTTAAGCATTACTCATTTAGTTTAGATTTATGTGTATTTTGTTATTTATTTGCGTGTTCCTATTTAGATTTATATTTATGTACATATAGGGGCCGGGGTGGGGGGCTAATGAATTTAATTTATATTTCTTGTTTACATATATCACACAGTGCCCAGTTGTTGGGTCACAAAATAAAAATAATAACAAATCGAAATCAGGTGGAAAAGACCCAAAAAAGATTTCAACCGATTGCGCAAATGAAACTGGGGCTAAGGAAACAGGGTGTCTCGATTTGATGGTGGGACGGCGGTTTGATCGCGGCATGACTAGACTGGAGACCACTCCTCCAGTTGCTCCTCCTTAATCCTGCTCCTCCTAACTGGCTGCACTGGGGGTCTGCTGCTGCTGCTGTTGGTTGGCCTTGGCCCTCTCCTTGGCCTCCTGTTGGGCCTTCTTGGAGCGCTTCCACTTCATCCGCCGGTTCTGGAACCAGATCTTCACCTGCGTTTCGGACAACATCAGTCCGCTGGCCACCTCGAATCGCTTGGGTCGACTTAGATACTTGTTCTGCTTGAACTGCTTCTCCAGCTCCAGGAGTTGCTGGGACGTGAAGGCGGTTCGAGGTCTCCGGGTCTTGCCCAGGATCGCATGATGCGGATAGGCGGCCAGTTCCGGGATGCGGTGGTGCAGCATTCCAGCGCGGGCCAGAAACTCGAATTGCAGCTGTGAGGGCATGAAGTTATGACCCATAGGTATCTGTAAAAAATAAGAGATATATCATTATATTGTAGTCAATACACTTCTTTTATAAAGATACATTTGCTTGTTGTTCCTAGACTTAAATTTAAAAAAAAAAATTATTAATAAGGATGGTAGTGATCGTTTTTTAGGATCATCTTAGTTTTTAAGCTATCATTATTTAAGTTCTTAAAGATTTTAAATATTTTATTTAATACTGTTGATAATTGTTTTTCAATCCATTATCGTATGTTGATACATGATATATTTCGTATTTAGTTTGTTTATTGCAGAAATATTTTTAATTTAAAAATGTTGAGATATGAAATGTTTAGAAATGTACTTTTATCTTAACGTAAAGTAATGGAGAATTCGGATATATATAAAAGCTTTCATTCGAATGATATATTTTAATTCATTGATAATATTAATTAAATATTGATATATTAATTCAATATAACCATATTATACTTACAGGAATGGGTTTGCCGGATGGATCCAGAGGTCTGTGGAAAGCGGAGCCACCCTGCGCCAGCAGTTGATATGGATGACCGCCCGCGTAGAGTGGGAAATCCTGGGGTCTGATGGGACTGTGCGGCGGAATGGGCTTCTTGAACTCGTCATGGAAGTCGGACATGCGCATGGACAGGTGCTGGGGATGCATTCCACCATGGGGCTGCTGATCCTCACAGCCGGGACTGATGGGCGGACTAGAGCGATGCGACGAACTTGGCGACTCAGATCTATAAAAAATATATACAAAGACAAGCATTTTATAAGACACCCTATATTGTGTATTATCTAACAAATCGATGACAATCGAAATTACGCGACACGGTTTGAAAACAATTAATATTACCGCCTCCCTCCCCTTGTCTAATTTGTTTGCTTTCGAACACAATTCGCACTTGAAATTAGCCACTCACACACTTAAGGCGGCAGACACATGGCGTATACGTAATCTCTGTGGCTGATGACCAAACTGGAATTGACCAATTGAAGGCTTTTTTTTTCTTGCCATGTTTTCGAGTGCCAGCAAAGCTGCTTTGGGGCTTCATGGGGGCTTCGCTTTGGCTTTCGGAATGGTTTTCGCCGAGTGCCCCGGTTTTGTTTGGTAGCCAGCCAAGGGATTACCACAAGAAGTTGAGGGATTCTTGGTAAGAGCTTCAGTTTTTATTGGAATTGCTTTTTAATTCTCTAATGCAAATGAGTAATGGGTGGGTACTAAAAATATTTTTGAATTCCATTAATTCTAAGGAATTATGACCATGAACGCCTAACTTTATGTTTGTAAATAGTATATTCCTGTAAGCCTTCATTGTTTTTGATAAACTTTTTTTAATATAACTAACGAAATTACCAAAAGATCAAAGAACGATGAAAAATATTTACTGAAACATATTTCTATAATATACATTTGTATAAATATATCATTCTAACAGATTATTATTATTTTTTTGAATGCAATTAAATGTTTATTGAATGAATATTAGAATTTATATGAAAAATAAATTTAGCACAAAAGCATTTAATTCTTAAGGACTTTTTAATAATATCAGAAATAAAAAAAGAAAAGACCATATGAATGGTTTTCCAACCTTTAAAATCTGAGGGGTCTTAAAGTAAATAGATATTTTTCCCATACAGTTGCTTATCAGATATTTTTATTGTATTATAATTCGGTAATAAGCGGATACTAATGATATGTAAAAAGATTTTTTAGAAGGCCTGTAATATCTACTGTTTAAATATAAGTAGATTAAGCTTGGTAACGAAATATAGCCGATGTAGTATTGTCTTTACTTATAGATCTGTTCTTCTTCTAACAAAATATGGTATTGTTTTTACTTATAGATATGATCTTCCTTTCTTATCCCCTGATATAATAGATTCTAGTTTCAGTTCTTAACACATCGTTACTCACCTCGACATGCCGTCGGGACTGGGTGAATCGTACTCCCTGGAGTCCCGGATGCGCTGCAGTGCCTCCTGTTCGCTGATCCCGCCGGCGGCCGAGACAGCCGCTTGGGCAGCCGCCGCCGCATTGGAGGCGGTCACGAAGGCGTGGTTGAGTTCCGCCTGATCCCGGGCATAGTGCAGAGCGGCCAGGCGATCGTCCACAATTATGGGCTGCGGCTCGCCCGTCTGGTGCTGACTCTTGGCCAACAGGGCGTCGATGCAGAAGGACTTCTTGGGCTGACTTTGGGCGGGTGGCAGGAGAGTGGTTGTGGCCAAGCCGGCTCCACTGTGGCTCAGGTGATGACCAGCGGGTTGTGGTGAGCCGGGCGGTGGTGCAGCTGCTCCAGATGGTGGTGGTGGTGGTGCAGATCCAGGGACAGGTGCACCGCCCGGCATCATCAACGGAAGTCGTGGCAGGGGATAGGCGCCCAGGGCGGGATGCGGATGGGGCACATGATGTGGTGGCGGGAAGCCCTCAACATATAGCCGTGGATGTGGTGGCGGCGGTGGACCGGCACCCACTGGCAGAGGAGCAACTAGCAGAGGCATCTGAGAGCCCTGACTGCTATCCGTTTGACTGTGATCCTGAACACCACCGGGACTCAAGGTCGGGGCGTAGGCGCTAAGTGGTGATCCTGTGGTGGCCGCCGAGTGGGTGGGACTCGCTGCCGGCGGGCTGGCGGTTATCTGGGATCTGGGCGACAGGGTCGAGTGATTGCTGCCCTGATCGTAGTCCTGGGCAGGTGGTGAGGATCGCTGGTGGCTGCGTGGCTGGTGGTGCAGACTGCTGCTGTGGTGCTGGATGTGGCTGAGTAGCAATTGCGACGGCATTGAGGCGTTATTACTGGCGGTCAGCGGCGGTGGAGGCGGCTGTTGCGACACTTGGGCACTGGACATGCTTCACTGGGGTCACCAAAGTTTAGTCTATATTCCTTTTTTATATATATATATTTATGTTTTTTGTAAACTCCAAACTCCCAAACACTTTTCCAAACACGTTTCGAAAACGACTCTTTCGAACGCGTACGCACGCGAGTCTAAATATTTTCTACGAAGCGAACTCGACGAGCGCTCATTAACGACTGTGCGCTGTTGGAAGCCAAACGTGGTATCATATACGCGATACGATACGAAATACCAGTATAAAGCACCACCGGAACAATCGGTACCGCTCTCTCTCTCTCTCTCACTCTATCGCTCTCTGAAACCCCGCTTTCAAGATGGAGTATCTGGCTGTAACCCCTGAAGCGAAACAGAGATGGCCTCATAGCATGGGGCGTGGCTAAATGGCCTAAAATGTCCATGAGAGGGCGGGACTTGGCATTTAAAAAGAGAGGGCAGGAGTACCAAATTTCATATAAATTGTTGGAAAAACGAGGCTATAATTGCCATCATTATGGAGTGTTGAGCAACTAACAAGTTCAACGGCAAAAGACGAAAGAATCTTCATAATCAACTTGAGTGTGGAGTGATGGTGGAGGGGGTGAAAGGTCCTTAATGGGTCCTAAAGGGAGAATGGACTATATATAGGAAGTCTGGCCGATGATTAGGCCAGCAATTAAGGCACTTGACGACTGGCCCACACACTTCAAGCGGCCACTGCAGCTTTAAGCCCTTACGAAATCAATAATCCCGATAACAATAAACGTCTCGTTTCATTGGCTTTTTATAACTTGGTTGGCATTTTGGCGCTACCGCCGTAATGCTCGTATAATGCATTTTCTTTACGACCCACGCTCAGCCCGATGAGATGATTTTAATGATCCTTTGATAGATTACTAAGTGGACATGAATGGCTGCCAAGTGGTTCAGAGTTTAGGAGGCATCGAGTTGTAAATGGATTGAATGAGGAAGCAAGGGACATCAAATGGATTGGAATTTTAGGAAATATATTAACTATATTAACGATATCCCTGCATTTATTTACCATCGGGTCAGGGAGACTACCTTCTCTTATATTTCTTTCATGGTAGCTTTTGTATATCGATAATGTAAGGATTATTTAGAAGTTGTTTAATTTTTTAGCCTTCCGCAGATTTTAGCTCAAGTTTATATCAATTTAATAAATTTAAATATTGTAATAATACATATACATAGGTGGTTTTAACAATCCGAAATTTTTTTCAATTAGATCAATATTTTATATGTTATTGAGAAAGTACGGTTAAAAGGAATATCATACACATAAGTAAATGAATAAAGTCCCAAGTTTTAAACAGATTAAATTGTTATATGTATATATAAGTATGTATAAGTTTTAAGCCTTTTTTAAATTTAAACCAAAGGACAATGCCAAAGTAAACAGAGACCCAAGCAGCTGGCACAAAGACAAGAAAGTAAAAAACTCCAGAGCCCAGAACCTGCATGAAAACCATTCCACGATATACAGTACATATAATGCAATGTCCAGACAGGAAAAGGGTTCTAAGATCGAGGGAATGGGGCAAACGGTTCGCTAACAAGAAACGTGCCAAAGTGTATTTTCTTTGACCACGTACAAAAATGGGACCCGACTCACTCCCGATTTTCCCAAAACCCAAACTCAAGCCGAAAATGTTTTCCCAAAAACTAACTCAAAATTAGTGCGATGTCTGCAATGACGACTGATTGCTGTTGTTTCTTTCTACCCTACCCCCAAAAGTTTCTATCTGGTTCTTATTTTATTTTCATTATACGATATTTATCTACTCATCCACGTGCATTTAACTAACATTTATGGGTGGTGCTGATGGTGGGGTCTTTAGAACATGACCTGGCAACGGTCCATTCTCGTTTGCTCTGCCTCTGTATGATTTGTGTTATTCCAGAATAGTTTATTTTATATAACAACACAAACATGGAGAGTGAGTGGTAGGAAAGAGAGGTGGCATTGTGGGGCTTTGAATAGTCGGGGGGGAGTTTTTGCGTTGAAGGTGTGAGGATTCGGATTGGGTTTCGGTTTTTGGCTCGCATTGTGTTTGCTCTTAGCCTTTTGCCTGATTTCGTTTTGATTTTGGGGAAATGGTAACGTAAATATGCAATTAGAGTTAAAATTTGTTGCATCAGCTATTTGCAGAATGAAAATATTATCATAAAAACATAAATTTATCTTATAAAAGTACCCGTGGATATTTGAAAAGATGATGAGAAATGAAAAACAAGGAAGAACGCTATAGTCGAGTATCTCGACTATCAGATACCCGTTACTCAAAGGGAAATGGAGATATGCAAGCAGCAAAGCGAAATTAAAATGCGCCACCTACCGGCGGTAGACAGATTTAAGCGTTATGGGCGTTAGAGTGGGCGTGGCAGAATTATTTTTGGATCAATCGATAGGTATTGACGACACCAATACATTTCAGTTAAAATTTATTATTATTATTATTATTATTTATCTAGCATGCAAATTGTGGGCGTCACAGGTTTTCGCGGTTTGTGGGCGTTTAAGTGGGCGTGGCAAACTTTTTTTTAGGTCAATCGATAGGTATTGATGAGAACAATACATTTCAGTTAAAATTTTCTATCTAGCATCAAAACTGTAGGAGTTACAGTTTTGGGCGGTTTGTGGGCGTTAGAGTGGGCGTGGCAGTCTACTGAAACAAACTTGCGCTGCGTAAGAAGCTCAGGAATCTGTACGCCAAATCTCAATAGCCTAGCTCTCATAGTTTCCGAGATCTCAGCGTTCATCCGGACGGACAGACAGACGGACAGACGGTCAGACGGACAGACGGACAGACGGACAGACGGACAGACGGACATGGCTAGATCGACTCGGCTAGTGATCCTGATCAAGAATATATATACTTTATGGGGTCGGAAACGCTTCCTTCTGCCTGTTACATACTTTCCGACGAATCTAGTATACCCTTTTACTCTACGAGTAACGGGTATAATAAATAGAACTAAACCAACCCCTTTTTTGTATCTAAGCTGTAAACTTCACTTTTACACTATTGCAAAAAAATGGTTAGCACAAAGTTTAGAAATATACTATTTTAAAAGTTGCATTATGTGTTTTTTAAGAAAGGAAGATTTCATTTTTTTTTGGATTGCTTCTGTTTTATTGGTAGATACTTAATATATCAAGATTTAATACTTTCAAACAGTATATACTAAAAAAATATATTATTAAAAATGTTAAAATCTCAAAGCAAAACCTCATTTAATAAATAAATCACATCCCAGCAGTCCTTATACTAAAACTCCAAAGCCCCCCTTTCAAAAATGCTCAAAAATATATGGTTTATAGCCACATTGTGTACCACTGCCAAAAGTTTTTATGACAAAATGCAGTGTGCGAATTGTTCAAGTATCAACTTGGGCTGCGATATAGTGACAACTGGATGGAGTTGTGAATTTGAACTCGATGCCCAGAAGTTGGAATTTAATTTAAATTCGACAGAAATGCCAGCGTTTTTGGAGCCTTGCGTGCTGCCCGGAATAAGTTTTATAAGACAGAGTAAGTAGTTCGGCACTAACATGTACATAAAAAAAACAGAAACTAATTGTTTTCCAATTTTTAGAGGCCATTATGGGGTATTGCTGCTTTTGGTCACCAGAAATGGGATGTCAAAAACTCAATAGAATGGATCTAGATTTAGAAAGTAAAGATCGATGTCATAGTTGCTCCCGGACAGTTTGGTCATCGATTATGGAAAATAGAACGTGTCCATGTGGTAGCTGGTTTCTTGACACAGAAGACGGCGCTGTAAGACTTAAGATTGAGGATTCTATGTTAATATGGGTATCATTATGTACGTTACAATTTCTTGTTGTCTAAATACACAAAATATTTATTTATTTTAACTAAATCTTAAGAAGTTCAGAAAAACATAAAGCAACCCCTTTAATAAATATATTTTTTAGTGTTTCATTTGAAAATTAAAATGATAAATCTTCTCCAAAATCATTGATGAATTTTCTGACATATTAGGCTAATCAGGCGTTAAATTTGCCAGCAAATATCAGAAATAGAAATCACCAATAAAAATAAATCGTCACATATGTTGCTGCAATTTAGCTGATGCGGTCAGCATATAAATCGGAAAGAGAGGGGTGCACATGAGGAGAAAGAGACAAGTAATCCCTTTCCAGGACCTGCAATTTCTCCCTATCTGTCGTGTTAATTCAGCCGATAAGTGAACAATAATGCCAGAAAATTTCAACAGATTTCCAGAGCCTTAGTTAGCTAAGTAAACAAAACTTGCAAGGTTGCAAAAAAAGGGATGGAAGAGGCAGGGTTGATTGAGTTGACTTTGACACTTGTGTTCTGTCTAAATATACACCAACATACATAAAAAAAGGGAAACCAAATTTGAAAACGTTTTCCAAACCATTTTAAAACAATAACCACAAAACAAAATTTAAAGCAAACCACCACCCTTCATCATTCAATCTGCTCATTAATCACAAACAACCAACCACACCCAACTGAATTGCAATTGATAATTGAGCAAATATTGATGTGCAAATAATTGGCATTAAATTGCGTTATCAATAAATAATTTTTACATTTCAGCAGCTACAAAGATACACAGATACGGATACTTCGCCGAGTTGTATCTACAAAGTGGCTGCCATTCGATTGGCTCATTATGTTGACAGAGATGTGGGCACAGAGAGTTCACTACTTATATCTGTGAATGGTATTTATTATTTGCATTTTTTTCCACCCACCTACAGCTTTTGGTTTCCTCTGTTTTTTTTTTATTTTTTCTGCGCAATGTTTTAAGCAAACTGGGAGGGGTCAGCATTGCCTGACCCTAATGATTACTAAATGGTTACCACACATTCTAAGGAGGTCAATTAATAAGCTTGTTTATTGATAATTAATTATAGATTTCTTGACTACTTAACAAATATTTGGGGCTCGGCTGCAGCACAAATCGGTTAAACGCGCTTACTCATATAAGCCTATTTTCATTTTATGATTAGAAAAAGAAAATATCAAAGAAACATTTTTCTTTAACCTTGGTAATGAAAGTTGTAAATCATGTTTTATCAGAAATATTTGTTTTAAAAAATTATATTTTATAAATATTCATTATTATATATATATATATTATCTAACTTATAAGCTTACTTTTTCTTTCAACAAAAAATAAATCTTTGAATGTTCACTATAAATCAACAAAAATACACAGATAAAATAAGAACGAAATGAAACAAATATTTAATAATATGACAATAATAAAGCACACATAATATATTGACACAACAATTTTAATTGATTTTCAGCATAGAGAAAATAACTTTTAAATGTATGCGTATCCAGGAAAGACCCCGCCTCCAAACTCCGCCCTCGAATACCGCTGATAAAATTTATAATTGAGTTGTGTTTTTTTTCATTAAGTGCGCGAATTGATTTGCTTTTGTTATTGGCTGGCCAACGGAGCAAACTTATTAAAAACTGATAAACTCAATTCGCATTTCCCTTCCTAGAATTTCTTTATTATTTTTAATTGGTATATATAAAGTGTAAGAATTATGGGAATCATTAATGAGATAACACGAGGCCAGATAATCCCTAATATGGGGCTTAAAAAGGAAATGGTTTAGTGAACGATTGCAAATTATTATTTTGATTAGATCGATGGGCTTAAACTATTTGGTTTCCGCTCGGAAAAGATTGGCGTTTTTCGTTTTAGGGCTTTTTGATAATAATTTTTGGTGATAATAAATCAAATTGATAGAACAAATAAATTATCAAAGAAATAGCTGAGTACTTTATGGACTTAGTGTTAAAATTGAGAAAAAGATACATTTTTAAGATAGTCTCTTTGTATTATTTACATTTTATTTATAATTTTAAACGTTTGAACAATATTTACCAGCAAAGAAGTGATTGAAGCTTGAGTTTATCTGAGGAATAACGCAATCTTAAAGCAACATGAACGCGAGGAGCGCGATATCTATATCGGTGTTTATATATAGCTTCTGTATCTGCATTCGACTGCCTCATTAGCCACAGCGCAAACAAATTTCCAAGCCGTTGCAGTCCCAAAACACAAGCCAAAACCGAAACCAGAACCAAAACCCAAACCCAAAACCCAAAACCCAACCAAGTCGAACTGGGTGAGGTGAGTGGAATGTGTGGTTCTGTTTGCACACAGTTGAGATACATTTAGCTGCCGTTGCGACATCGGAGTTTTTTAACCTCTGCTGGTAGTACTTCCTGATATATATATAAATCTATATGTATATATGCCCATATAGTGAAGCGCCAGACGATTGGAAGCGAAAGGTAAACGTGCACTTCTTTCCGATAAGAAGGACGCACGAAAATCGCATTTTGATTTGTACTCCGTATTTGATCAGATACTCGCGTTGAGATACAGATACACGGCAGTCCTATTTGCCTGGCAGTTTGTAATTGTTTGCATAAGTGCATTCAATTGACAGATAATGATGGCTCTTCTGCCTATATGTACGGCTATATCCTGCTATATTGATATCACAATTTATAAAATATTTTTCTCCATTTTCGGCCTATTTGCTTTACCTTTTCTTGGTCTTGTTTGCCGCCACATAAATTACTATCTCCTCTTATCATTTCATATTTTATTTGTTCTCTTTCCTTGGTAAATTTCTTTAGGGCTTGAAAGACCCTTCAGACTTGAGTTTTAATTTCTGCGCTGACGTCTATTATGATGGATTAATTTTCAATTATGAAAGAGTGAAAGAAATAAAAGGAATCGCTTATCTCAACTGCCTTCAATTTCGGTCTTTCTTATCTGCTCGCTCATATATCGCTAATAATCAATTTCCAATTAATTCAAAATCCCTTATCAGGCGACGCGGCCTCCCCACCCCCCTGGTTCACCTGATATTTATGAAGATGGAAAATTATAAAAATTTGTTTAAAGCCGCTTAAATGGTCGTCACATCACTCGAAAAGTTAAGAATTTTGAGTTCGGAAGAGGTGTCGTAATCTAATCGCTGGCGGGGCAGCGATTTAATTTATATAATCAACTTGTTTTCATAATTAAAAAATATTAAAATTGTTTATTGAACACACACACAATCGGGCTGATAGCGACCGTTGGCCCATTTGATTGGATTGGCCGCCTCCTTAGCGCTTATCTTGGCCTAATTGAAATTGCATTGAAATTGATTGATTTGCCCATAAACGTTTGACAGAATATCAAAGTTTCTTTCTTTCTTGTTCACTCGAATCTTTTATTTTTCCCTAATCGTTTTATTGGGTCTGGTTGATTTGTGGTAATCAAAAAAAAAAACAATCCGGTCAGATGACAGCTCAAGCTTCTCTTCTCGGGGGTTGTAAATCATCTATACCAAAACCGCCTGCCAATTGTAAATTTTATTCAAATGCGTCAGGAGGGTTCGGCTAATCTGGAGAGGTGTGATTGGAGCAAAAGAATGCAAAACTTGAGACCGTCTGGTTCAAGTTTTGGATTGAACTGGAACTCTTGAGGAGAATAGCTGTATGGAAAAGGTGGTAAATATTAATGTTATCTATTTATGACTACTTCTTAATAGTTACTTGTTTTAAAAGAAACGTGATATAAATACATAAAACAAAAAATTCTTGTGCTTAAAAGATATGTGGGATGGGCTGGGTCTTTTGAGGTTAAATTCAGAATTTAAATTAAACGATGGTTTTGATATAACTCCTTTATAATATCAGTGTTTGCTCCTATCTTTCTTAGTTCCATTTTCTATAGACCAGTTAAAAATAGTTTAAGTATTGTTAATTTAAAATCTTTTTATTTTTCTGATTAGGACAAAGTCTCTGTTAAGCCTAACCAAAGGTTAAGAAAAAATTTTCCTACACCAGTATTTTTAATAATCTTTTTCAGAAATGTGTGTATAATATAAATTTTAGTTTTCCCTCGAATGCAGAAATCTCCATCAATCGCCAATCACTCCACTCATCCCTAAATGTCACGTAACCTCTATTGCCCTACGACTTTCCCACGTTCTTAATTAGCCACTTGGCCATAGACAAATGGCAAATAATAATAAAATGAAAACTAAGCAAATATCAAAAGTTTTTCGAAAACATTTAGCAAAGTCAATAAATCGCTGGCAATTTGGCTGAGAGGGGGTAAGTCCGGGGAGGAAATTCAAAAGGAGGCGCCTCGGGGACGTATTAATCTCCATTAAAAGGGAATTTCAATGAATTTATGATGGCGCCATCTAGCTTTCAGATGTCTGTCACACCCCTCCCATCACTCCCGACTACCTTACTTACGCATTGCGTATTTAACATTCGCCAAAAACGAAATAATTCGAAAGCAAACAAAAATGCCAAAAAAAAAAGAGACGATTGTATACCTTGGATACCTCTCCCTGAATCTCGGGGGTCTCCCCACAAACCATCAGCGTCTTCGTCGGCGAGCCGGGTAAACATTTTAAGCTGCCAGCCCGAAAAACGCTAATGGGTAAACACAAATGCGGTTAAAGAGACGCCGGAGATTTGAACTTTGCGGAGGAGTCTTGAAGGCGCGAGCTTAGTAAGTTTCCAGGGCGATTTAAAACGCGGGCAATCCTCCAACATATTTTAAAGGCTTTAAAAAAGAAAGATATAAATAATAATAAATAAATATATTTAAACACTTATAAAAATCGTACGTAATCATACCACCCAAAAAGGAAATCGATAATCAATTAAGCATACCTTTCTGTCAGCCAACTAATCAACTTAATTGATTTACAGTGGTAACTTAAAAACATGGGTCGCACGCGTTTCGAGTGCGTTTTAAACCGCGGATAACCTGACCCGTTCGGAGTTACGGAAATTGCCTCTTGAACCTGGTCAAATCTCTCGATTAGCCGGGTAATCAACTGAATTTCCAGATTAATCAAGAGTTGCTGGGTGCGAAAGAGCCTGAAGACGAGGTAGTGGCATTTTTGATTTATCAAATTTTCGAATCCAACCTCCTTTTTATGGGCGCCTTATCAAGATGTATTAAGCTCTAATCATAGACGTTGATTTACCAGGCCAAAAGCAGACCCTGTTAGCTTCGAACCTTATAAATAAGCCATTACCAAGCCCATCGTATATTAGTAATAACAATTGCCATTTATCAACAATTTTGAAATCGCCCTCTCTTGCTATTTGTTTGATTTGTGCACCCCGATAAGTCGGAATGGTGGAGATATAGGTAGTGTGTGTGTTAGTTGAGGAGAGGCCTATGACAAATCTCCAGGCCCCAAAACTTGAGTGGGCAATTGCTTCCGTATCTCAGGGAAACTCACATTTTGTCATCGGTTCGGGCATTGCGAAATTTCTGCTTAACTCTTTCTGATACAATTTTAATGAAAGTGATATAACTTTTAGTTCCTTATAGACATGCTGTCACCTTTCGAATTGATTGTGGCCTCTTGATGATTATGATTGTGATACATTCTGAATTACTAACCCCTTTGACGTAGGTTAACTTCTTCCGGTTCGAACAAGTCATGTTATATGGTGCCTATAGATACATTTACCTAGAAATTTACCTATTAAATTGATAATGAAATCATGAGTGTAATTATGAATTGTCTGGTTAAAAAAAAACTTGCATGAGTGTGCCAAGAATACTTGAGAGGTTTAACTTGCAATTGAGATATAAAATATTACTTCCTCAATCAACTTCTAAAAATAACTTTTGATTAAAATAAACAATATATATAATTAATTAGCTATTTTAGGTCCATTCTTAGTAACGAAAATGTATGTATATGTAGAAATAAAAATAAAAAAAGATAGGTTTAGATTAAACTTACCAATTTAATACAGGAAATAGTTTTTTTTATAAGTTTTATGTAACTTAAAGTATGAAATTAATAAACACAATGACTTCTTTCAAAAGTTCTCAACAAAGTAGGGTACCCACTTTTAGGGTAATTCAAAACAAAATGGATTCCAGCAATATCGATGGGGAAAAGGGGAAATGGCTAAGAGGAAGCGGCTTCTTTTGGAGTTGCTCAAAGCGTTTTCCCTTCACCTCCAACACCTCGAAAACCTCCATTACCACTCACCTCAGCGCTGCCCAGGTGAACATAACTCACCACTTGATTTATGCAAATAAGCCACGTTTAATTATGACCATTAGCCACTGTTGAGCGGCTACCGTTTTGAGTCAATAGAATCCAGGTCCAGGGGGCGGAAAAGGGGTGGCAAGAAGCTCCGCCCGGGGCTTTTAGTCGGTTTGCATTTCAATTTCGCTTTGTTGTGCCCCAGGTGCAAAAAGGGAGGGCGCGGGGCGAGATGATATGGTATAGGTGGTCTGAGACAATGATGCCTGCCTTTAATGAGTTTTATATTGACCCAAGCTATTAACCGAGTTATAGCATGGGGCGGCTGAAATCTGTGACTAATATCACAGGGAATTTGCAGTATAAAGCCATTTTAAATAGCTTTTGACTAAAGAATTATGGATTTACTTTAAAGACAACTTTAATGAAAGATTAAAAGTTAGTCAAATACATCTGAGTTGGTATGGTATGTTATAACTTGATTTAATTAAAACTTCTTTGCATTAAAAATGTATGCTATTATAATAACAATAATCAACCTCTTAGTTTTTAAAATATGACTTGCAATATGAATCATATCTTTGTATACTCTAATTTTAAAGAGTATTTCCATGTACAAAGCTTTCCTTCATATTTTCCACTTATATTGGAAATCCTTAACATGCGCTCTGCCTAGATTGTGTAAGAAATCGGTGGTCTTAATTTACAACTAATTGTCATATGACCAACTAGTTATGGCAATCAGGAGGACTTAGTTATATGGCCAGCGGGTCCGATACCATATAAAACTTTATATATATTAAATCAGAGGGATTTCCATGACAGTCTGACCATGGCGATAGAGTCAATTGTGTGTGCCGTCTAATTGCATGCTAACTGTACTTAAATATCTTTATAATTGACGCCACAGTGGGTGTCGTAAACAGCACGTACCGCCCTGGTCCGCGTAATACTAGTAGGTCTATTTGAGAAGGCCTTACGACTGGAGACACCGAACCCCCAATCAGACCCGCACCCAGCCCCACATCCGAACCACCCGCAATAAAAGGTATTTATGTTATTTGTCAAGTTTATCGCAACAGTTTGAGAAGGGTGGGCGGCCAGGAATCGCTGGGGCCTAATTAAACCATGAGCTTTATCGTCTTGTAAAGATCGAAATTATTGCCACCTTTCCTGCTACTATGCTTCTTTTTACGACCCTCATTTTCCAACACCAGTAGCCCCCATATAAGCGTCCATATATATCATAAAATGTTGTTCTTATATATATACAGGGAATATATGGAAGTCTAATGGATTGCTTGTTACGCTTTCTGTCTTTTGATTTGTTGATTTTGATAACTGCATTTGGTTGGGGTCCCTTTAAAATTTATTGTGATTTTATTGGACTACATAAGCCACTTTAAAGAAATGGAAATGGAGATCCATACTCTTTTTTATAAGAACACCTTTATATATAGGTAAAAAGAACCTATATTGACCAATTGTGAATCGTATTTAAGTATCAATAAAAAGATATCCATTAAGTTAGTCTAACTAAGATCTAAAACTGCCTAATAAATAGTAAAAACTTTTATTTTGTATTGGAAATGCTTATTTCCTGAATAAATTATGTATTCCACCCATAATGTAAGACCCATTCCACCGATATCTTGAAGCGTTGAAGCCGAGCCGCCTAAAGTGATTGTGATTGCATTGCAATGCGCAAGGCAAACAAAGCCAAACAAAAATCGAGTAAGTCAAAACACAGGGGCATATTCGAAAAGCACAAGCCTGGCAAACACAAACATCCGATGGGACGGGCAGAGGATCCATCGATCTCCGCCAGCCAACTCCATCTCAATCAAACAGAAGCCAAATGAGCTTGTCTTATGGCTGCCGGAAACGGACGGTTTCTTCAATCGAACTGCCTGGATGGACAAGTGGTGAGTCCGCTTGAGCTGCAACTGTAGGGCTGGAGGGCTGATCAAAAGGTCCGCTCGAGCGGATCTCTGTGGGTCAAGCAAACGCTCCGGCTTAATCCAAAGTGGCTACTGAGTTGCCTCCCGTCCAACAGGTGGATCCCACCTCAGCCGGAGTGCATTCTGCATTCTGGGCAAACACTTCTGGGCTACCGATCTCCAAATAACCCAGTGTCCCAATGTCCCAATGTCCAATCCATAGTGGCCATCGGTTCCATCAATTTTTCGCGGCGGGCTGCTGTCAATCTCCTGCGGCAAATAAACTCGAGTGCCTCACATGCAAATAACCAATATTTGCTCTCGGATTATTAAGTGAGCCAGCAGCATCCCATTCCGCTGTCCATTTCCAGTTCCCATCGCCATCGGTGGTCTTCTGTTCCTTCTGCTGCCTTCAGGTGGCTTGTTAACTGTTTGCTCGGGCTGTTTAATCGCTTTAATGGTTAGGCAATTAAGAGTTCTTCGGAAAACCTTTCTAAATGACAACTACTCCCGCTCTTCTCGTTGGAAATTTTAATAAATTCTTTTGATATGCTCCGAAAAAATGTTAATTCAATTGCTATACTAAGAACATTTTTTACACAATTTAAGCTTCAATATATATAAAATAAAAATGTACAACAGGTTGCAAAGTCAGCCACTGAGAAACTCGGAAAACAATGATTACTAATTGTATAGGCAGTCCGTTAGACTAACTGCTTAATATCTTCGCACAATCAAGAGGTACATAAATTCAAATGAAATCGCCCCTAAATATTCGTAAAAAATGACCAGCACCAAAAAGTGTGCTCTGATCATGGCGATAGCAACAGCAGTTCAAAGAAAATAATGCATTTACCGTCCTATGTTCAATCCTTACCAAAAGTTTTTTGCAATGTTTTCATTTATACGTTTGCATTGCTCTATTTTAGGCGCTTTTAATCAAAAACTAACTGCCGAAAAGCCAATTTTTCTCAATAAATGGTTTTAAATTGCCAATAATAAAGTTAAGTATTATTAGTATCAGAAAAAATAAAATGTACAAAACATTCGTTGATTTTTGGGGATCATAAGAGATTTTAAATGGTTGCTGGCCTGAAGAGTTCAATAGATTTTCCTTAGCAATAGCATTTTATTGAAATTGAAACACACACAAGTCTCCAAATAATTGAGTTTAATAAAAACACCAACTGATTCCTTTGTTTCATTGTGTTCTACATTATTCCCTTGGTTTATTTCATGCGAATCATTTCATGGAAATGTGTACGATCCATTGACTTTTACAATAAATACAAAATCGTATGGTTAATTTATGAAAAACATTTTGCGCCGCCGCCGCTGCCAGCAGACTGGATTTCGACCTCAAGAGGAGGATTTCCATTCGCAGACGATTCGCAACGTGTACAGAGCAGACATTTATGAAATGTCGTTTAAAAGCAGGCTGAGGAGCAGCTACTCTGATCGCCACATTCGAATTTCAAAAGCTTGGCGGCTATTTGGCGCTTAAAAACTAAATTCAATTGCGGGTGTTGATGGCACACACACACGCACACACCTGTCCGGGCAAAGCAACAACAATTGAGGCTGATTTACATATATGAATGTTTGTTGTTGTTTGTGGGCAGAAGTGCTGCCGTGGCCAATAAGTTTGTTTGTGCTTCTGTGGGTTTTACTCCTTGGAGGCCATGTGCCCCACCAAATTGCTGGTGATCTTCTCGATTTTCTTCAGATCCGGCATGTTTTCCGCTTTGTACTGCACACACTGTGGGTTTAGAAAATCCATTATTAAAAATGTGTTTTTTGATGATAAGGGAAAGCCGACCAAACCTTTACGTTGTCCGTCATTTTAAGCAGTATGTGGCCCTTGGAGTGCACGTATTTCATCGTGTATCGACAGTTCTGGGGATTCGCCATGTACATATTCTCGGCGGCGATCTCGAAATCCTCCCAGTTCTTCACAAAAACCATTTTTTAATTCGAACAAATGGAAATCCAGGCGAAATTAATAAAAAACAACAACAGCAACTGGACGGCGTGACGTTGAAGCAATGTGACCGTGCGTGGAAAAATACCAACTCAGTTTTCGATAACGATAGGCTGATATCGGAGAGTCCATTGTGAACGGTTCACAATTTGGCTTATTTAATTATTAATTTTAGTTTTTATTTCGTTTGTTTAATATACTATATACATTAAATTTATATACTTTTCTATAAAATAAAAATTCATTTAAAACAAACAACTGGGGGAACATTAGGAAGAATATTTTATCCTTCAAAGAATGTAACATCTCCTATAAAGTTTTGTGGAAAAATAAATTTTACAATTGTACATTCTACAATCATTCTTCCTTTTTAAGAAAATAGAAAAAATTAAAAAAACAGATTAAGTTAATAATTTAAAAACAGTAATTGAGTGTGACCTTATAAGTAAACAATGAAAAATACCACATTTTCTCTGTTAGAGCACTGGTATTTCTGCCCACACACAGTCACACTACACCCACACATCAGTCGCTGCGCTGCAAAGTGTTCCAATATTTATTGCTAAAATGCTGTGAAAATCCATGTAATTGTTAAATTTAATGCTCAATCGTACGCACCGGATGGCCGCGGAGGCGTGCGCAGTGGAATTCGTGAGCTACTTGGCCGAAAATGCAGCGAGTAACAAACGCGAAAAACGATGAAATCTAGTCAACCGAATTTTGTGAATGGGTGGAAAAGAGACGGAAGAGGGGCGCAAACGAAAAACGCAAATAAAAAGTGACACGCAGAAACAGCTAAAGTGCAATTTATTTAAATATATGTACTAGAGATTTGGTCGAAATATAAATACGAGTGACACAAAACAAATCATCGAAAAGTCAAGTGTGTGTTTGTGTCGGAGTCTCTCTCTATCTCTGTCTCTCCCCCTATACTTTGTTGTTGTTGCTCTGGTGGGGTTGAAAAGCCATTGCCTGCATAACGGTTAACGCGTGACGTACGACCCAAGCAGCAGTCAAGTGCACCGCCCCCGCACCGCCCCACCCTCCACCCACAAACCTCCCTAAAAGATTAATACCCACTTTATAAAGAGATAGAGAGATCTTTGGATCCCACATAAACCCCATTCATCATGATGGACAACGATGATGCCCTGCTCAACAATGGAGGACCACAGTCTGGGGCAGAAACGGTCTACGGCACCGAGGACAACAACATGGTCATGTCGGAGAAGGTGATTATCAATCCATAAAAGCCCTTATTCATGGGTATTTCACTCTGCTTAGAAAGAAAAAACATAACTAGATCACATGGTTTGGGATAGTATAAGATCAGTTTTTATATCACGTTTTTTAAGTAACTCATCTACATAAGGGCTTTTCGAGTAATGGAGAAGTGTTTAGCTAGACTGGTTTGCATTTGGAAGAAGTTTAACTACCATAACTCCAGTAAAAGTTTCATTACCATAACTCCCTTAAAAAGGTGCATAAATTAAAAACAAAATTTTAGAAAACATAATCTTATAGAAAATGAGTTTAAGCTTTTACTCTCACTTGGGACTGGATGTTAATAACAGATTTAGTATCTCAAACAAAAGATCTGTAATTTGTTATGAAGGTTTTTAGTGACCTGATTTATATATATAAATTAAGTGGTTTTTAGCTAACTCAAGGTCTTGGTCTATAATTTGTTTATGGCACTACATATTTCGATTTCAAATTCTAGGGAAATACCTATTCAGTTTAAGTATATATTTAGTAAGAAAGTACTCACTGATTCATACGGGCGTTTCTGATTCTCCCTTAAATATGATAACGCACAATATGTAGGTTTAATCTGTTCTTGGGCCTCTGCTCCTTAACATCAACATTCAGCCCTACTCGTATAAGGAACACAAACACAAACACGAGATAATGAGGCTATAAAAGTGTCCCAAGCGGAAATACAATCGCAGAAAAACATGCTTTCTTTGCTCATCGCTTTTTCTCTCTCTTTTTTTCATATACGCTTAATTATGTAAAAACGCATCCAACAATTGTTTATTATGCATCAGCTGAAGTCGCTGGTCATTGACATTCAAACTGGCGAAATATAGCAACCAGAAATTGGGTAGAATAAGAGAGTTAGAGAGAACAAAATGGGGTAAAAAGCCGGGGACCAGAAATCAATAAAGTCAGTCAGTCGGCCCTCAAATTTTATGACCTCCTCACGCAATCTTTTGCAGAGGAAGAAAACTTTATGAACACTAAATGGAGTTCTTTGTAGTTAAAATGAAATGAAATTAGTGTAAATCATCTTAAAGTTCATAAATTGTTAGTTGTTTTTAATCTAAAAAAAGAAATTTAATAAAAATTCATTTTGCTATCTGTAAAGATTCCATTGTAGGCCAACATTATTCCATTTTATTGACAGTGTAGCCTCTTTATATACGTACTCCCCCACCTCTGCAGCCAAGTTTATTTTTATTTTTCACCCCAATTCCCTGATTGATTTTGCACTTTATCAGCTTCGCCAGCTTTAATCGGGCTATGCAAATTAAATCAGAGGGGTCACCCCTCACATTTTACACTCATATAAGTGCTATTTCCATCCCCTTCCCAAATGAGCTCATCAGGTTCCCCAATTCTTGGTTCTTGGCGCACATGTGTCGCTGATAAGGTACCTGTTAATTGAGTAATGAGTTCGTTGCGATTTCAAGCGGGAAGCACTCCGCTGAAAACTGGTATGTTGGCCCCACAAGCGCAGAAACTATTTGTGAAACAAGTCTGGCCAAAAAAATGTTTGAATACCAAGCTAGTTGGCCTTATAAGTGTGCCCAACCTTGGACGGATGACGGGTTTTTTAAGAGAAGGTAGTTGGAGTGCAATGAAAATGTTAGTAGACCCTATCTAAAAACTAAGACTTTCAGCAAATATTTTAGATATAACCATATGCTTCCTAAAAATATTATATAGAAAAGTTTAACAACTTTTAAAATGACCCAAGTAATTGGTAATTTTTATAATTAGGAAACCCATGGTTTTTCTAAGGATTTTTATAAAGTATTCATCGTTTTAATTTTTATTTAACACATTTATCGTAAATAACTTGCACAGCACTCACCCATTCATCGAGCACCTATTTACCTTATGGGTTTTATTTCCAAATTTTGAGTTAATAAATTTTTAAAAATTTTGTTTTACGTGTCCTTTACACCTTGTTTTTGTTCTTTTCTTTCTATTTCAGAATGAACAGGTTGTCAGCATCGTGAGTTATCCAAATTTTTCGTTTGTGGTCTATTTAATTTCCTTCCTATACTCTTTTTGTTGTTATTCACATTCCGATACTTAAATGCACGATATTTAATTGTTTTTAGCATTTTCCTAACAACCATATTTCACGCCTTGCAATTGTTTGTTTTGTTTATAATTTTCTACTAACAACTTAAAGCCGAAAAGGTGTCAACCTTAACCTTTCTCGGTTTACTGATGTAGCGGGTATAATCATGTTTCCCACCTGTGTTTAATAACCAAATGCATGACAGGTGGCTTTTTATCATCTTTCAAGAGCTTTCCATTCATAAAAACCGCGGCCACAAACCGCAATTATGTTAACCGATTTAATTAAGCCATTAAATGGGCGGTTTCTAACTATCTTTACTTCTTAGCCTCAACGTTTGTGTAGTTATGTTTAATGTTTTGTAAATGAAAACCTATATGGAGTTTATTTACTAAGGTAACTTTTTAATATCCTAGCAAAGTAGCCTAGTATAGATTCACACTTTTGAATGTCTTTGCAAGGGTTTTTAAAGGTTCTTCCTGATTTTCTACTAATCAATTGCACTTTACTGTCCCTTTGACTCGCCAAAATCAAAGCCAACCGACTGATGCACATCCATTTTGCAGGTCCAACAACTGGCGGGTAGCATTTATCAGGAGTTCGAGCGGATGATCAATCGTTATGACGAGGATGTGGTTAAGAACCTGATGCCTCTGTTGGTGAACGTGCTGGAGTGCCTGGATGCCTCGTATCGCATTAATCAGGAGCAGGACGTGGAGGTGGAGCTGCTGCGCGAGGACAACGAGCAGCTGGTGACACAATATGAGCGGGAAAAGAGCGCCCGCAAGCAGTCCGAACAGAAGGTGACTGAAATGGGCACATGGTGGAAGCATCAAAAAATATGATATGGTATTTCTATAGCTATTGGAGGCCGAGGACCTGGCCGAGCAGGAGAACAAGGAGCTGGCCACGCGTCTGGAGTCGGTGGAGAGCATTGTGCGGATGCTGGAGTTGAAGCACAAAAACAGTCTGGAGCATGCCAGCCGCCTGGAAGAGCGGGAAGCGGATCTCAAGAAGGTGGGTAGTTATAGTCTTGCGAATTTCACTTCCTAACGTGTCGGTTAAACCCCCTTCAGGAGTACAACAAACTGCACGAGCGGTACACAGAGCTGTTCAAGAACCATGTTGACTACATGGAACGCACCAAGATGCTGATGGGCTCGACACACTCCCAAATGAGCACCGCCTCCGATCGCATGGATGTGAGTCGGGCGAGGCTGAATCCCGTGGCTCGCAGCTCCGGACCCGTTTCCTATGGTTTCGCCTCGCTGGAGAATTCGGTGATGCTCGACACCGAAACCATTTGCAGTGTGGGCAGCCAGTCCGACGACTCTGGGCCGCCGTCGCTGCAAAATGAGCTGGACAATCTGAGCGGAACGGTGGAACGTGGAGCAGCCACCGATGCACTGCAGCAGCAGCACCAGGCCACCTCGCCCCAGAGCCCCGACAGCAGTCCCGTTGTGCCAAATGTGCCCACAAATGGTAGGTGCAGGGATTCCAAGGATCCCATCCCTCTGCTCACTACTCAACCGCTCACCGTACTAATGTTTCCTCTCTTCTTATGATTTTTGTGTTAACTCAACTAAACAAAACAAAAAACACAAACGAAACTCCGAACAACCCAACCCAAATCCCCCATCCCAGTTGGTCGTTCGACCACTAAAAAGGAGCAGCGCTCGGATAACAATCTCTACCAAGAGCTGTCCTTCCAGGATAATGAGGAGAGTGAAGAGAATGAGATTGTCACAGGTGAGATGAGAGGAATATGTTTTTGGGACCACTCTATAGCACCCTACATGTTGCTAATCAAAAGTGTCTGAGTACGGACTTTTTAAAAAAGGATATATGTGAAAGAGAGCATTGTTAAAATGTTATCTTAATACTTTTCCTCTAATTATGAAATGCGTGTATCTAGACACTTGAAACCGAACTCAAATAAGCTGTACTCAATGCCAATATCCATTTTCTTCCTTCTTGTTTTGCTTTCCCGTGCACTTAAAACCAAAAAAACCAAAACTTTGCAACACATTCGTGGAACCAAACCCTTCAGGCAGCTGGGTTCATCCCGGAGAGTATGCGTCCTCAGGTAGGTACCACTCAACCACTCAAGACCATCAACCACAGCAGCAAGAGCAAAGTCAAGTACAAGAAACTCAGCCACAACCACCATATAATTCCTACATATATGGATTCATCTATATAACCTGTAAATACATCAAATATCATGCGAGATTCGACTAAAAACAGTCTCACAACAATGAGATTTTAAGGATCTTCACTTTTTGCGTATTGTGTGTGCATTTCCCTTGTGATAACTGTTCGATATTATTAGCTCGAAAGTGTGCCAGTCTGCTAAAGAGCATTAGAAAAATTTAGAAAAAACAAATAAAATTTTATAACAAGACCTCTAATAAAATTTCTCTTTCTTTTATGCCGAATTCTACTTGCCCAAATCCAAAACATTTCGTTTCCTCCCACAACAAACAAAAACCAAATTTCTCTTGCAATTACTAAAACACAATCCACAAAACAACAACAACTATATTTGCATTGTATCCTTTGAAGCTAACGACAACTATTTTGGTAAGTCTAAAGTGCGCTACGAACACCCTCATACCTATCGATAAAGTAGCTCCCCAACTATTATAACTGCCTTTGTAGCATCGTAAGTAGTTATACCCCAAACCGCCCAGCATCGCTATCAGATTATCCAAAAAATTATACTTTACTTTAATTTGGTGTTTGGGCTGGCCTAGAACTTCGATTCTGCCATATCATTTGGTTTTAGTTTTTCCATTATTTCTGTAGTTTGGTAGTTTTTAATTTACTTCTTGATATGGTTCAGGTATTTTTTTCATATTTGGATGATTTCAATTTGTGGAGGTTGCCAACATCTAACATTAATTTTGATTTATCTGATTTCATTTCTTTAATTTAAAGCATCTATCAGTTAACCAAACGAAATCCATATATTCCGCATAACATACACTTGAGTTTCACTTGCATTTTCCTAACGCTTTTACACTTGTTTTGTCAATGAAACCCCTTAAACAATTACTGATTACTTACAAAGCTCTCAATCATTTTTCAGGCATGGGCAAGGAGGTGGAAAATCTCATAATGGAAAACAACGAGCTGCTGGCCACCAAGTGAGTGTCACTAATGATGTGTCCCCAAAGGGGAATCAAAAATCAATTATCCTTATTTCTTACTCTTTACAGAAATGCGCTCAATATTGTCAAGGACGATTTAATCGTAAAAGTGGATGAGCTTACTGGAGAGGTCGAAATCGTTCGCGAGGAGCTCAATGCCATGCAGCAATCGAGGACCAAGTTGAGGCAGCGCATCAGTGAGCTGGAGGATGAGCTGAAAAAGGCCAAGGAGCAGGTCAAGCAGCAAAGTGAGTAATACCAGCTTGAACGAGGGTTTCCCAGAAATAAATGTGGCTGTTTCCCTACCTATTTTAGACACCGAGCAAGAGGAGAACGACGTGCCGCTGGCCCAGCGCAAGAGATTCACCCGCGTGGAGATGGCCATGGTGCTGATGGAGCGTAACCAGTACAAGGAGCGCTTGATGGAGCTGCAGGAAGCAGTGCGTCTCACAGAAATACTCCGTGCCTCACGCACCGTAGATAATTTGGACAGGAAGTCAAAACAGAGCATTTGGAAGTACTTTAGTAATCTTTTTACGTGAGTTTGCCAGCAATGTACTTTGCATAAATTATTGTTAATATTAATTCCTTAAAACAGCCCCTCCAACCGCCCAACGGAACGCGTTGCGGACGGTCTCGGAGGGGGGCCGATGTTTCGTCATACCGGCGGAGGAAGCCCTGCCCACAGCCACGGATCCCCCAGTCGAGGAGGTGGAGGTGGCGACAATCGCCTTGCCCTAACCAGCGGCCAGCCGCCAGTGCATCCCGCCAGCGCTGGTCTTGCCAACGCCCTCATCATGCCGAAGGACTACGCCGAGGAGGGCAGCTCCGAGAGGATCAGTGCGAGGAGGCGGGAACAGTACCGCCAGCTACGCGCCCATGTCCAAAAGGAGGATGGCCGTCTGCACGCCTACGGTTGGAGTTTGCCGATTAACAAGGCCAGCCAGGAGGCGAATCCCAATCGTCATTCGGGTGGTGTACCCGTTCCCGTCTACTGTAATCCCCTGGCGGAGGCCTCGCCACACATGAAGGTGTTCTGTGCGGCGGGCGTTAATCTCCATGGAGGCTTTACAAAGAATGGGCAATCACTGATACCTGCCAACTCACCATATGCTCCGAAATCTACACTCAAGATAGCTGAGATAACCAGTCCGACGGCTGATCAGAGCATGGAGGCGTTGGACAGACAGATGGCCAGGGTCAGCCTGGAGACGCTGGAGCCCGAGACGCAGCTCAGTTCGTTCGTGTGGATCTGCACAAGCACACATGCGGCCAGTACGGTCAGTGTTGTGGATGCCAATCAATCGGCCACCGTTCTGGATGCTTTCCCCATCTGCGCATCGCATTTGCTCTGCATTGCCTCCGTTCAAGGAGCGATGGAGAGTGACTATGCGCTTCTGGAGCAGTCAGAGGTGGTCAAGGCGGGCGAAATGCTGCAGCGACCAGGCGAGGGTGCGGAGTTACTTGGCAAAGTGGAGTTTGTCCGGGTCAAGCCCAAATCGGAGGATGAGCAAAACAGCAATGCTAAGCAGCAGCAGGAGGAGGAGGAGGCCAAGGAAGCCACGGAAAAGTCAAACGAGCAGCTACCGGCGGTGAGTGCCGAAGAGCCACTAGGCAATGTGGAGGCCATTAAAATACGCCAGGCACTGCCTGGTGCACCACAGCGCCTCTCCACGGACGGCAACCAGACAAACAACAACAATAACTCGAGCAGCAATCTTCTGTTTGCCACCAAGTCGCTGAATCCCATACTGGAGACCAAGGATCGGGATGAACCGGCAATGAGCTCGGTGGGTCCCACAATGTGGCTGGGCGCCCAAGATGGTATGCTGTACGTGCATAGCAGCGTGGGAAGGTGGCACGAGTGCCTGCACCAGGTTCTTCTGCCGGACGCTGTGCTGGCGATTGTGCATGTCGAAGCGAGGGTCGTTGTGGCGCTGGCCAATGCCCAACTAGCCGTGTTTCGCCGCCAAACAGACGGCCAATGGGATCTGAATAGCTATCACCTGGTGACGCTCGGTGATCGCAACCATTCGATACGTTGCCTCTGTGTGGCCGGCGAGCGCATTTGGGCGGCGCACCGCAACAAGATCTTTATCGTTGACCCAGTATCGCTTAACATTGTGCACTCGCTGGACGCGCATCCGCGCAAGGAGAGCCAGGTGCGCCAGATGGCGGCCACGGGAGCGGGTGTCTGGGTGTCCATCAGGTGGGTTTCTCTATCGTTCACTTGAGGTCTTGTAACTTAATGAATACTATTTCCATGTTTAGACTGGACTCCACGCTGCGGCTGTACAACACGCACACGTTCGAGCACAAGCAGGACGTGGACATTGAGCCGTATGTTTCTAAGATGCTCGGCACCGGCAAGCTGGGCTTTAGCTTCGTCCGCATCACTGCGCTAATGGTGTCCTGCAACCGTCTGTGGATTGGCACCAGCAACGGCGTGATTATCTCGGTGCCACTGGCCGAAGTGCAGCCGAAATCGTCATGTGAGAGATATATACTACCTGATCTTGATTAGAGCTTCTGAATGACATACATTTTTGTTGTGATTCCCTTGACAGCCGATCCCCATGGTCAGATGCCGCTCTGTTGCATGGCCAACGCTCAACTCTCCTTCCACGGCCACCGGGATGCGGTCAAGTTCTTCGTTTCGGTGCCCATGCTGCAGCAGCCGAACCTGAACGGCGGACTGACCTTCAGCAACAAGCGACCCGATATGCTGGTCATGTGCGGCGGCGAGGGCTACATCGATTTTCGCATAAGTAAGTGGCCACCGGGTCCGCCGGATGAAACGGATCGGGCATCGAAGCTCTGAAGCTCCGTGTATAACCATTCCATATTCCATCCCATCTGCAGGACATGATAAGTTCGATGCTAGTGATAATGCAGCGCACTTGATAGTTTGGAAAGTCGATACGTAAGCTTTGATTTATTTTGTTTTGATTTTCCTTCGTTTTTTGCTTTTGCCCTTTTTGATTTTATTTATTTGGATTAATGCTTAGTTTTGTTTATTTTGTTAACGTCCTTATTTTATTCGTTTTGTTTTGCCCTCGATGCGATTTAATTGTGCGATTTCTGGCCCCCATCCGTAGAACGTTCAATCTGTAGCAGGATGGGATCCCAAATGTGGATTGCAGCATTTCCCTCAGCCGTGACCTGAACTGAACTAGACCGCTAAGCAGGTTTACGCAAGTCCTTTTATTATTTAATTAATGTTTCCTTTATTGTTCCAATCGGCACCAGTTTTCCTACCTCAAGCCGTGTGTTTCGAATCAGTCTTTCGAATTTTAAACACACTTATTGACTAAGCACTCAATACTGTCTTTCCGCACGAAATCCACTAAAGAAAAAAGTTGAATTCATTGGTGTTCTGTTCCATGTCCCTTGTCCTAAACACTTTCCGTAATCACTATTTTTAAGTTTCAGGGTTGGACGTTTGTATAAAACTGGAAAAATTTATATGTTTAAGCGACCTTTTTTTATTTTTGTAATTTTATAATGCTCTAAAACAGATTTATAAACACCTAAGTTTTAATTTTACTGATCATATAAGTTAACTTTATTATGTACAGTTCACTAAAACGCTTACTAAAACCTACAACTAAGGACTTCCCAACTGCGTTGTGCCCTGTAAAATCTATGCAATTGGTCGAACCCCACTGATGCCCTGTAGTTTTGCTCTGTAGCACTAATCCATCTTTCACATATGTTTTTTTGTACACAATCCTTTCAAACTGTGAAAACTAATGCAAGTTAATGGACTCTTTACAGACGATAACGACATGGAGAACAGTATTCAACTGGAACCAAATCAAACGATCGAAAATCGAGGCGATAAGAGTTACTTGATTGTGTGGCATGTTAGTCAACGTTAAAACCGATTCTTTGGTTTAAGTGCAAATGAATATTTATAAAAGTTATATGAATACATATATAATCTTATAATACGATGTGTAACTCCACAACTGCAGGCTAGCGAAAAGATTACCTTAAATTTTAGTATTTATCTAACCTACCTTAAAAACTACCACGATGACAAACTGGGTTCTATAAAATAATTTAGTTAAACAATTTTCAAATTTGAGCCGCGAGACTTCCTCTATTGTTTCTTATTGCTTCGATTAAACCAAAAATAAAACCTGCAAAGTTATTTGTCAGTGATAGCCAGCTAAATATTTCGAGATATATATATATAATAAAGTGTAATAAGATTTAAATTTGTAAATTTTATGCGCTCTGCTGGCAGCAAGTTATATATTTTGCATAGACACAAAAAACACCACATTTACATTTAAATATAAATATAAATATAACTAAACATGATATAGGAAAGTGCGCCTTTTCAAGGGAATTTCTGCGTGATTCTTTGTCCAAATATGTAGTAGAATCTTAATTTCATGTATCTATATTTTTATTTTATTGTAAAGCGCGATATTGAGCAATTTACGTTTAGTTATTTTGTTAAATAATTTTAAACTTTAGTTGAAAAATTTTAAACCTTAACTTTGATTGTTATTCATTTCTTTGTAAGCCTATGTTTAGAAATAAAACAAAACTGACCAAAATTCATGATATGCATTTGTATATCGCTGCGATTATCAAAAGGACTTTTGATGGCGCCAGAAGAGTGATATTTGTTTTGCAGAAAGGTATCATACAAAAAGTTGCATAAGTTATGCAAACGTATTATGTAGCTTTGGCTTGACTTGTGAGAATAAATTATGGTAACAAAAAAATAAAAAATATATGAACCAAAAAATATCAGCAAATAATTACTGTAAATAAAGACCGAAACATTCATAAAATAGCCAACCATTTGAAGTTTTTTGTTGTATGCAATTTAAGAGATTCAACTAAGAAATGGCCTAACTTTGTCCTTGTATAATGTTTATACGCAAAATTTTGCTTTTGATTCACTTCTGGTGATTTTGAGTTATTACGTTGAGATGCTTTTTAAAAATTCTTAGTGTAAATTACATATTACAATTGAATCCTGAATATACATAGATGTCTGTTTTCTCCCCGAAAAAACCTATATCAACAAAAATGCTTCATGTCACGTACATATTCAACCTCAACATATCTTAGAGTTCACTTTGATATTATAATTTGATTTTTTACAGATTTACCATGTCCATCTTATATGATTGTTCTCTTTAACTACTCTGGGTATTCCCTAAACTGTAAAGTTGTGAAAAATTAAACAAACAAATTAAGGAGAAGACCCCACATTTGGTTCCTGCTAAATTTTTTATTTATTTTATTGGCCATACATGTTTCCTTAATGAAATAAGGTTATAGTCTCTAGGATGTTAAGTTGCAAAAATTTAACTAGCCCATTTAGGGTTTACAAACCATACAGGGTTGGTACAGAAATCACTTCGGGCACACTTGATAATGTGCTTCAGCGCTCGCTCACACTATGCACGTGTGTGGGGAATACCCCTAATAACTTGCCTGCTATTAATCATGTTTCGCCGTACGGCCCCACTTTTTTTAATTTAGGTGAAAAAATTGAGCAATTTACAAAAATGATGCCTGTTTCTTTATTGTTCGCACTTGATTCTGACACTTTGTACTTAAGGTTAATGGTACGTTTCTAGAAGTCTCGCCCATCGCCCTATGCTGCTGAATTCTTCGCGTGGCCAGGAGCAACGAAGAACGCGCTGTTCGCCATCTATCTTTTCATTTCCAGTTCAATTTTTTTCATCTCCAGCTCCATTTGCTTCGCCTTCAGCATGCCTTCAATTTCCATTTCTTTAAGACGTATTTGAAGTTTTCCGTCCATTAACTTCATCTCCTTGTGGTGTTCTCGCTCCTTTTTAGCGAATTCCAAATAATTACGATAGTCTACATCGGCCTTTCGAAGCAAGTTGCCTTCTTCGTCGTTACAAGATAAATTAACTTTTTCGTGGTCCATTTTTAACAATGATGCACGTGGATAGGTGGATAGGATAGTAACTGGCTGCAAGACCGGATATTAAAGGCATTTCCTTGATCGTAGAACTAAGCTTTCCAGGAATTCCCGAAATATACTGATTCGTATGAGGTACTTTAATGGGGCCTTTCCATTTTTTTTCACTCGGTCACACTGCACAGAATCAGCTGTTGCTGGAATTTACATACTACATATATTGCACTGCCTGCGCTCCACAGATGGTAAACATTGAACTCCCTGGGCATCCGCACCCGTACCCATGGCCACTCTGAACGAGACGCTCCGCAGCCACTGGCTCATCGCCCTGTTCGGCTGTATCCTCTTCGTGACCGGGAGCACGGTGCTCTACTGGAACGAGGGAAACGCCGTGCACAACATGATGGCCCTGGACGAGGCGCACGCCGACATCTACTCGGTCCGCTTCACGGAGGAGGAGCAGGAGGTGGGCCTGGAGGGCAGGATCGTCCACCTATCCGGCCCCATCCTTGTGGGCGAGCCGCTCACCGAACCGGACTACAACATCCAGCTTCTGGCCGTCAAGCTCCGGCGCCGTGTCCAAATGTACCAGTGGGTCGAGGAGACCGTGTAAGTGCTCCTCAGGCTGGTTCAGTCAGCTTGGTTTGGGAAAAATTTAACTTAACTTAATTAACAAAATTTAAAAAACATGGGTTCTAACTATAGGAATGTATCCATATTTAACGCTTTAAAAACCATTTTCTTTTGAAGAGATCTACTTGGCATGTGTTTTGAGTACTTTTTAAGGAAACTTTTGAATTCATGCTTTTATCTCCTACATTAAAATAACATATTCTTTATTTTAAAAAAGTGCCTCTCATTTTATAAAATCAAACGTTAGTTATAGAAGGACCCTAAACAGATAAACAGTTTTTAATAACTAATACTCATTATATATAATAGTTTCATAACGCAAAAAATATATTAAATATATATGAAAATAACATATTCTTAATTTTTAAATTTGTTTAGACATTTAACAAATAGTTCCGAACATTTTTTTAAATCAAACTGTAGTTATAGAAGGACACCAAACAGATTAACATTCTTGTTAGTAACTAACTCTTAATATAAGGGATTTAATACTTATCATATCCTTTTGGGATTACGTAGACATTTAAAATACCATTGATTATGAAAATGTTAGTTTAAAATCCTACTTCTTCATTCCCAGCGAGCACAACTACGGAGAGAGCGTGGGAACGACGCAATCAGACTCCCGGACCTATTACTACACGCGGGAATGGCGGGACAAGATCGTGGACTCGCGGAACTTCTACAACCGCCACGGGCACACGAATCCCAGCCACTTCCCCATCGAAAGCCACGTCCAGGTGGCAGATGCCGTCTACATTGGTCGCTACGAACTGGGCTCAGAGGTGAAGGACAAGTTCGCCAACTACCAGGAGCTCACCTCGGACATACGGCCGGAGGACAGTAGCGTAAAGCTGCATCTGGGCATCTACTATCACACCAATGATGTGTTCAACCCGGAAGTGGGCGACCTGAGGCTTCTCTTCAGCTTCGCGGGGATGGAGGGCGAGGAGTACAGCGTGGTGGGCAAGTTGTCGGGCAACAAACTGGTGCCCTACATAACATCCCGTGGAGTTCCAGTGCTGCTCGTCTATCCCGGGGGACTCAGTGTCCAGGAAGTGTTTCGGTTGGAGGCACGGGCACAAGTATTACACACCTGGTGGTGGCGCTTCGTCGGCTGGCTGCTAATCTTCTTCGGCGTCACGTGCAACACCAAAATTCTGCGCATTTTATGTAAGTTTGTATAGTCTGTGCTTGAAGCAGTCCTGACCGTTCCCATTTCCCCCTCCAGTTGTTCGGGTTCCACTGCTGGTGGCCTTGGCTCCGGACCCCCAGTTTCCAGTGACGGGCAACCTGCTCATCGCCTTCTCGCTGGCCCTCACCATTGCGGCCGTGGCCTGGATCCTGCATCGTCCTGTGATCGGCGCCTGTCTTTTTCTGGCCGGCGCCTCGCCCTACGTCTGGTTCACCCGCAACCTGGTCGACTACCAGCGGATGGAATGATCCTCCTCAGCACCATGTTCATCTTATTTACAGGTTTATTTATTGTTGATTCTCCTTGTTAGGCTATCGCAACGTCATTTGCCATTTACCCCTCGGCCAATAAAAACTTAATAACACTTAGGTAACTAAACTAAACTTAGAACTCCCTGATGCCCGCATTTGTGGTGCTGCCAGGCGCTCCACCGCCGCCTCCGCTGCCACCTGCTCCCGGCACATTGGGCTTGGACTCGCTGGAAGTGTGCACACTGGGACTCTGGGATTTGTCTTGCTCATCGTGGCCATTTGCCGGCTCCTCGTAGCGAACGTAGGGCTCGAAGCTGTTGTTGATTTGCACGGAGCCGCGATGCAGATTGTTGGACTCGGCCTCGAACAGGATCTCGTTGATGAACCGCTCGGCCAGGAGTCGCTGTTCGCGGGGCAATCTCTTGAGTTTGTGCGTCCAGGTGCGGGCAATGGACTCCTCCTCGGGATAGGTGCCAGCTAGATATTCGCAGGCTATGTTTAGTAGCTCGTCGGTGTTGTGGGAGGTGCCTGCGGCTCCTGGTCCTGCACCCGCTGAACCAGCTACTCCTCCTCCCGGACAGGGTGGCGTTTGCCTGGCCCGCTTGGTGGTCACATAATCGACATGGTTGCCTGCCGGAGGCGGAGGTGGTGGCGGTCCAAAGGATTTGTGGAACATCTCCGAGATATTGGGTGTTTGTCCTCCGGCTCGCGGAGCAGGATAGTGCAGTGCACCTCCTTGGCCGTCTAGAAAGGCACTGGTGCAATTGCTGCCCTCGCTGAAGGAGAAGGTGGGCTCGTTCTTGAAGGCGGGATTGACGGCCAGGAATTTCTCCGAGTTGCGCAGGAAGTCCAGCTCCTGGAAGGTCCAGCAGCGGGGACTGTGGAGACTGCCCGATCGCATGGCACTCTCGACCACCTTGAGTTCCTTCCGGTAATTAGTGCGCAGGGTGTTGATCTTCTTTTTCACATCCTCAACGGTGGCGTCCCGCTTGAGATAATGGTAAATGGGCACCAGGCGGAGATAGGCCTCTGCCCGCTTCTCCCGATTGGTGTAGTCCCGTAGGGAGGTGTCCCACAGCACGGGAAGATCGCGATACATCTGGATGAAGGCTCGCAGGTAGTGACGGTTCTCCTCCGCCCCCGACATCACCTTCAATCCGTGGGGCGGCGTTTGGGGTAG